TCATAACGAAACACACAGCGTCTCCACAACATGGTGGCGGCGGCAGCAACTACTACAGGGAGAATAAAAGTTACGCCTTCTTTCTTTGCATGAACATTTGGGCGGCGTTATGCAAATCTTCCCACATCGTGACGTAGACATGTGGGGGCGTCTTAGAATGAGCCGTTTTAGGTAGGTGTGGTTGACTCTTAACTTTTATAAAGAATATCTCTTTGGATTTGAGACTTTAGTCTTTGCAAATTTACAGATCTTCTTTATCCACCAAGAGCTTGTAACACTCGTCTTTGCAACTTTACAGATCTTCTTTATACACCAAGAGTTTGTAACACTCCAAAGAGAAAGGAAAAATTGAAATCGCATCATATGACCCCTTTAAAGAGCCACAAAATGGTATTTATTGTTTGAATTTCTTTAAAAAATAAATTTTAAAGCTGAGACTTTGTTTCATACCTAAAGTAACTTGCTCTGTCTTGTCTGGCGGCATGTTGTCAGTTTCCTCTTCAGTGTTTCCCCTGCCATTATATTAGGGGGGCGGCCCGCCCCCCCCAACCGCCCCCCCCCCCTAAATGAATCCTTAATGTATATTAATACACCACCACCTCTACCTGTAACTCTATCTTTTCTAAAACACGTATATCCAGGAATATCAACCATACTAGTTAAAATATTATCATGTAATGCATATTGCCAAATCTAAATGACTTTGCTGTTGTTGCTTCATGCCCATCTGTTTTAGCTAAAAGAAGACAAACCCCTGTACATATGTACATTTTAGTTGCTTTTAATCAAGGACATTGTATGTTAAGTTTATGAGTTTATGTCCAAACATGTAAAAATGTATCTGAATACATTCTGTATCTGAGGCCCTGTCCACACGAACGCGGTTATTTTTAAAACCGTTTTCATGTGGACAGAGATTTTTTTATAAACGGAAGAAGGAAAAACTCAGTTTATAAAAATAACCGTGTACGTGTGGACATGGCCTCAGTCTATATTTGTTAGTTTTAAGCTGTCTGGTGTACCTCTAAATTAAACAATTTACTTTTAGCAGATAAATTCATTCAAAATGTATAGTCTTGCTCTTGCTGGAAAACTAAAAATATTGATGTCTCATCCTGCACTACACAGAGTTTGATCCAATCAAATGCTCTCTTGAATGAGAATGTCCCTCCCACTAATTCCACCTGCACCTGGCAGCAAGCAGAAAATTTACATGATTCATGACTGTGATGTAACTTCAGCCTGTTGGTGTTTTTAAAAAAGAGGGACAAGTCCTTATTTTCCCATTTCAATTGGAAATACATCAACACAGGAAAGAAGGCGAGTCTTTAAACTGCTATCTGTCAACCTCATGTCACAGGACACACTCAATCATTTAGTTTCTCATATTACTCAATCAATTGTACATATCAATACCTGTCAGTTATTTTTTTTTAGCTTTATTTGCTTGATTGACAAGATCTACCTGCCTTCAGGCACTGAGCTCTACATTTGAGCCCACGTGTTTAAGCTGCATATTTTCTAGTAAGAACAGGCCATTTGTGTGTAAATATTCTTGGTATGCAGACCGTTGGCTGTGAGTCCTACTACCAAAGAGAAGTTGTTTACTATGAATCCTGACCTTTCGCAAGTGGTGAGCTAGCAACTGGCCTCCACAAGGGAATAAGCACTATGAGATTTATGTCTGTTTTTACAGGTTGTTTTTCTCACATCCCTGCTGGCAACAGCTCCTATTTTGCAAGTATAAGAAAGTTATATTACAAAAAAAAAAAAAAAAAAAAAACCCTCAAAGCCGTAAACGTAGGGGAAACACTGCTCTTTGCTGTATTTTTCACTGCGTGATAACATCATGTGTTGCATGAGAGCGGCATGGCTTGTTAAACGTAGGAACAGTAACTAAGGGGGGTCTTTGCGAAGGGTCAATTTAGAGTATAGCGGGAGGTTGCTGGCTCAGGTTCTGAGATGACAGCATGAACATCTTTCTTACAGTAGACAATGACTTCTGGAAAAATTGAAGTTTGCGCTTGACTGCATGTTCAGAAGTAGCTCGCTGCCTATGGTGAGTGGTTGGCGGTGGCATCTGGTAAAATAGATTGAAATAATTAATAATAAATAAATTACTAGTAAATGCATAATTATCAAACTAAAATTGCATGCTCTAAAAATTTTTTTTTTGCATTTTTCTCATATTGTACAAAGCATAAACTGTCTGAAATATATTAAAAATGACCAAACTGCATAAAAATCTATTCCAAATGATACTAAAATAAAGTATTTTATGTATATAAACCATTAATTTAATATAAAAGCACAAAAACTACCAATCTAGTACATATATCTATAATGGAAAACACTCTGCAGTGGTCGCACTACATGATATTTGGTCACACCACATGATATGTTCAAATTCTGTCAAAATTTACAGGCACAGAATTGGCCACCTAAACAAAGCTTCCCACAAAAGGTAACTATGAAATTTATAATAAAAATAAATATTTGTAGAAATAACAATGTCTTTGTTTTTTTGAGGTCATACCACATGATATCCAAATGTGGCAACTACACAATCCAAATTTGAGAGCGTGTTACAAACCTGCTCGATGCTGTCAGAATCTATCATTTTTTTGTCCGATTTTCATTTTAAGCACAGTAATCTTGAACATATTGTATTATTGCTTTGTTATCTGGGTAAATTTCACCTTCATAAATCCAGAGCCATTCATTGTAAACCTAACTTTATGTTTAGAATGTTTTCATCTGATATAAAGTCCCTTTTTACTTTGTACTTTTACTTTGTAAACCTTTGAACTCAAAGGCTTCTAAAACATTTAACATTCTTAAGTCTATTGTAAGGTATCTTTAAAAATGTTTTTTTTTGTTGTTTTTTTGTCGTTGACATGTACTGTTGATTTATGTAGCTCTTTTAACTTCATGTGATGTTGTCTGTTTGCCCCCTGTTAATTCTTAACTGTTGTAATCAGGGCCGTCCTTAGCTGACGCGGGGCCCGGTGCGAGGTAGGGAGCGTCACATTCAGCAGTGGCAGCTCTTAAAGTAATAGCAGTAGGCCTGTCGCAATAATCAATATATCGACTTATCGCGCAATATATGTACATGACCTCAATAATTTTTGGTGACGCAATATATCGCCCATTATATTTACTTAAAAATTAATGTCACCATGTTTTGTACATTCCACTTGCGCCTGTGCCTTTTGCAGCTTCTCGTACATAACGTG